TGAACTCATAGAGATCCGCCTTCCTCTGCCTCCCAAGTGCTGGGACTAAAGGCGTGCGCCACCACACCTGGCAACAATATAACACTATAAAAATTTTAACCCCCCCCCCCCAAAAAAAAAGAGAACGGTTTTCTTGGGAGTAGGATAAGCTGAAGTTAAGAAACCCTATCTATTTTTCTCTAAATGCAGATCTGTGGAGAATAAATGCTTCTGAGGTATTTGTCACACACCACATGCTGTTGAGAAGTTTTCATGCACCAATTTCACTTAATTACATGGAAGGAAAAAAGGCAAGGGAATATGTCTAACATCAAGGCTTATGCTAAGCAGCTGAACTTACAATTAAGGGAAGAGAGCCATGGTGTACAACCTACATCTGGGAGGAGATAGGGCCAGGTATGGAGGAGCACACCTTTAATTCTAGCACTCAGGAGGCAGAGGCACGTGGGTCTCTGTAAGTTTGAGGCCAGCCTGGTCACCTAGGGCTACATAGAAAGACCTTGTCTTAAAAAAGATGGGTGGCTGCTTGGAAGCCACCTTTCTTATGTGCCAAACCCCACCTTGTCCCTGCCACACTGTTTTCATGTCCAATTCCTTACAAAGAAAGATTCTTTCTTATTCTTTTGAGACAGGGTCTCAGTGTACCCCAGGCTGGCTTCAAACTTGCTATGTAGTCAAGGATAGCCCTGAACTCCTGATCCTCCTGCCTCTATCTCCCTAGTGTTAGGATTACAGGTATAGGCCACCAATGCCTGGCTCAGGGAGAGGTTCTTGTGACAAGACAGAGTGGCTCAGAATTCTCTTCAAGGCCCTCCTGCAGAACTGGTCTATGCAGCCACAGGGCTGGGCTACTTGAGAAGAGCACACAGTTGGGGTGTGCATGGCAAGGTAGGGCAAGTGGGTACTGGTCCTCATTCCTTCTTAAGCCTTTTAGCTGCTACCTTTTCTTAACATTACCTCTTTAACCTCCAATTTTCCACTGGTCCTCTGGGTTCAGAATCTTTAAAAATTTTTTTTTTTAATTTATTTTTTGTCTCTTTTGAGACAGGGTCTCCCTATAGCCCCAGCTGTCCTGGAACTCATTATGTAGACCAGGCTGGCCTTGAACTCACAGAGATCCGCCTGCCTCTGCCTCTCGAGTGCTGGGATTAAAGACGTGCACCACCACGCCCTGCTTAATTTTTATTTTTATGTATGTAAGTAAGTGCATCCCTGTTGTGCAGCATCTATGGAGAACAGAAGAGGGTATCAGATCCCCTGAAACTGGAGTTACAGATGACTGTTAGCTGCCATGTGGGTGCTGGGATTCAAACCCAGGTCTTCTGTAAGAGCAGCCAGTGTTCTTAAACACTGAGCCATCTCAGTGTTTTTTGGAAATAGGTTCTCACTATGTAGTCTTGGCTGGTCTGGCTTATCATGGGCAAAGTGGGGGGGTGGCTCTTAGAAGAGGGAAAAGAAAATATTCTGTGGAATATGCTTTCATGCACATTATCATACTTAATCCTCACAGCCCCTTTTACTGCTGAGATAATGGGTATCCAGCCAGTCTGAAGAATAAGGACAGAACTAAAGATTGCTTGGTCATTAGTTTGCCTCTAAAAAATGTCACTATCCTTTAGGGTGGCATCTTTCCCCTTCCAGTGAGAGCCAGGCAACAATGGGAACAAGCAATCACAAATACAGCACTTTCTTCATGCTAACAGCTCCATAGAAGCCAGGTGTGATGGTACACGAGCAATCTTAGCATGTGGAGAGGTGGAGGCAGATCAGGAGTTCAGGGTCAGTCTAAGCTACATGAGACCCTGTCTCAAAAAACACAAAATGGAAACAAATGGTATGTAGCTCAGTTGACAGAGTGCTAGCTTAGCATAAATGAAGTCCTGGGCTCTACCCCCAGCACCACATAAAACCAGGGTGCTCCATGCCTGCAATCCCAGAATTTAAGAGGTAGAGCTAGGAGGATCAGAAGGTCAACGTCATCCACAGCCTTAGCTATACATCACAGTTAGAAACTAGCCTGGGATACATGAGAACTTGCCATAAAACAAAAGATTGTATTACACTACAAAAAAAAAAAAAAAAAAAAAAGGGAAAAAAATCCAAGAAAGAACGATTTTCACTGTTTAAGAAGAAAGGGGCTGGAGAGATAGCTCAGCGGTTAGGAGCACTGACTGCTCTTACAGAGGACCCAGGTTCAATTCCCCACACCCACATGGCAGCTGCGAACTGTCCTTAACTCCAGTTCCAGGGAATCCTAAGCCCTCTTCTGACCTCCGAGGCATTGCACAACATGGGTGCGCTCACATACATACATGCAGGCAATACACTCATACATATAAAATAATAAATTTTAAAAAATTAATTAAAAAAAGAAAAAAATGAAGAGTTAAGGTTAAGCAACTTGTCAAAGATCACACAGATGTTGAGAAACAGGTCCAGGATCTGGGCTACAGATGTTGGAGAAACACAACATAGGAAGAAATTGGAAGGGGGACTAAAGGGAATTGCATAGAGAGCTGGGTCTAGCAGCACTGCATCACTCCCAACCAGTAAAGCAGAGGAGCTTCTCCCAGTTCCCCTGGCAAACCTACTGTCCCTGGCCCCCAAACACCTGATCCAATCCAGCCCTCTCATTTCACAGATGAAGACATAGAGGCCTAGAGGTGAAGACCATGTAGCTAACTAGTGGTAGAGATAGGATCACAGGCCAGGAGTCCAGCAAGGAAGGTGCCTGTGATTCTACAAAGTACCTTGCAGTGCCCCTGCATTTAAAACCACCAGCTTAGCCCAGACCACTCAGTTCTGCTAGGGTCACAGCCAGGATGGACTTTCCTGCTTCCCACTCTACTCCCATGTTAATACCCAAAACTTCTCCAGGAAAAGACCTTAGCTACCTTGGATGAATTTCCCAAGGTACTCAGTGGGTCCCGGGATAGTGCCAAGCTTAACCACAGTTCTACTGAGTACAATCAGAAGTTGCTGTGGCCTAGGAGACTTCCTTGCTGGGGTTAGTCTGCTCAGATAGTGGTACCTGATCTGAATTTTCTACCTTGGGAATGGGCAAACCTCTGTGACACTAAGTCCCTCAAAGACCTGAAAATGGATGTGTACTCAGCTCCCAGGCAAAGTATCCAGTTCTTCCAACCTACAGCTTCTCTTTCCTGTGAACTTTCCCTCCTTGGTTTCTTCTGTCCTTTCCCTCCTGTCCCCTTCTACTGCCCAGGCTAGGCCCAAGCAGCCTACCTCCATGTGCTCCTTTCTTGATAATATGGGAACCCCCCTCCCCCCTTGTTAGGGACCATTTCAAGGCTCAATTCTTGGTCACTTGTCTGATCACAGGCTGGGGTGGGCTCAAGATTGTCCCGACCTGCTTCCTGTGGCTGCCTGGCAGTGTCCCAATATGGCCACCATGAGGATTCCTCCATAAAGATACAGTAGGATGAGACCTCCTCCTGTAGATTTTATCCCAGCACTTGCACCAAAGTCAGACCGGAGGACCAGAGCAAAGGCCTATGAGGCCAGCAGCAGAACTGACACAGTTCTAGACACAGAATTTGTTGTGGCCCAGCCTCACTCTCCTATAGGAGGTGCTCCTTTTTTACCCTAGTGGGCAGTGCCCAAACCTGTAATCCCAGAACTCAGGAGTCTGAGGCTGGAGGATTATGATGAATTCAGGGCCAGCTTGGTCTAGGACCTTGCCAACCCCATCCCCCAGCAAAATAAAGGGGGAAAAAAAAATCCAGGCATGGTATTGTATGCTTATAATCCCAGCACTTGGGAGGAAGAGGCAGGAACACAAGAGTTCAAGGTCAGCCTGGGCTACATGAGATCCCTATCTCAAAAAGTAGGACAGAAGAAAGGAAATAGGGAAGGAGGGAGGGAGGGACAAAACCTTCAAAAACAAAGACTGGCAAGATGGCTCAGTGGGTAAAGGTACTTGCTGCCAAGCTTGACAATCTGAATTTGATCCTTATAACCTGATGGTAGAAGGAGAAAACTGACTCCCAAAAGTTGTCCTACACACACACACACACACACAAAGAAAAAAAAATACATGAAAACTGAATTCCAGACCTGTCTAGGCAGAGTGGTCTTCACTGTGTTACTATCAAACTCATAACAATCCTGAGGCTCCATACACTCTTCTAATTTTCCAGAGTAATAATTGAGGCATGAAAACCTTTAAAAGCTTGATTAAAGGTGCTGGAGAGATGGCTCAGCAGTTAAGAGCACTAGTTGCCCTTGCAGAGGACCTCAGATCAGTTCCCAGCACTCATATGGTGCCTAACAACCATCTGAAACTCCAGTTCCAAGGGATCTGATGCCCTCTTCTGGCCTCTGTGGGTACTGCATATATGTGGAACACTTAGAAACATAGATAACACACATAAAATACAAATAGTTAAATGTTTTTAAAAGCTGGGTGTGCTAGTGTATGCCTTTAATTCCATCAATCAGGAGGCAGAAGCAGGTGGATCTCTATGAGATCTAGGCCAGTCTGATCTACAACATAGTGAGTTCCAGGCCAGTTGCAGCTACTGGGAGACCCTATCTCTAAATAAATAAATTAATTAATTAATTAATTAAATAAAGTTAAACACTTGATAAAGCTCAAGACAGAAGAGGCAGAGCAGACCCAGGTGCAGGCCTTGGCACTCAGGGTATTATGCCTCTGTGTCCCTGGTCTCCCACCCCTAATCCTAATGGCAGGAACATGCAGATCCCTAGAGTCTCGATTTCCAAATATCCTAAAAGATAACAGTTTTTTGTGGGTTTTTGTTTTTGTTTTTTGGACACTTGAGTTTCACACTGTGGCCCAGGCTGGCCTCAAAATTCCAGCAATTCTCTAGCCTCAGCTTCCCAGGTACTGGGATTACAAGCATGAGCTATCACTCCCAGTGGAAGACAATTCTGCTCATCCTAGGAACAGTAGTGGTGTATGGGGAGGCAGACAGGCCCAGCTGGACTACAGCTTTCCACACCAACCCAAAATGGCTTACCTGAGCATGTAGGGCAGCAGCAGCAGCAGCAGCAGTGGCAGCTGGGTAGGTGAACGCAGCATGTGAGATGGCTGGAGTCAGCTCTGTGGTGTAGAGAGGGTAAGGGGCCCAGGCCTCTGGGGACGCAGGGATCAGAGCAGCCCCCATCAGGTCATCTACAATGGGAGACACAACAGCCTCCACTGTCAGAACACTGGTCTCTCCACCCATCACCCCCTTCAAAACAGAAAAGGGAGCTAGCACTATGTTCAACCATAGTCGCCCCACCCCAAGACCAGACTCTTCCTCCAGAGGACCCCAAGATCAGTGAAGGAACCTCTGTGAATTTGGCCTGGCACAGTGAATACCCTATTTCTAGATGCTTTCAAACAGGCCATGGCCTATCTCAAATAAAAGAAATCACAAAAGGCTTCAAGGAAATTGTTTAGCCCTGACAGCCTAAGAACCCAGTCTCCTCTGGAGGGAGGAGCCTGGCAAGTCTCAAAGACAGCGGCTATGGAGGAAAGAAGGCCCCAGGAAAAGGGGAGACAGGCAGGACGATTCCATCAAGGATCTAAATGTATGCAATTTCACCACGCCTGCTGGCTTGAGCCAGCCAAAGGGGAAGAAAAGGCAGCTGAAGCCCCACTCACAGGGGTCCCGCGCGATCAAATGTGCTCCAAGGGCAGGGTGAACATTAGTGGGATTTGGTGTCGCCATTAGCTTGCTCTTGGCCATCTTGGTATTGGCTTTGGCAAACTCTAGCCTCAGAGTCTGTGGGTTCTCAGGATCAAAGCGAATACCCTACGTGGGAAAGAAAGGGAGAGAAAGACTTACAGAGGACCCATACTGCCAACTGCTATTGATATGGAGGGCCCCAGAAACATGCTTGCCTGAAAGACTTTTTTGCACACGGGGGGCCACAGCAGACGGAGTGCTGCTGAGTAATAACATTTGTCACAAACTAGGCAACCAAAGACTGTGCCCTGAGATGCGCAAAAAATAAAAGTCATGTATTTCTTGGGTGTGCAGTAGGGGAAGATTTGCAGAGGACAGAATGGGGACAATCATTGCTTCAGAGGTCTTGGGGTCAGAGAAAGGCATGTTCTCCGCCTACTCACGTTCAATGCATTTTTGGCTGCTTCTGCTCCTGCCCGGCTGTCAAAGATCACAAAACCAACAGGCTAGTAGGAAGAAAGAAAGAACATCCTAGCATTTCTCCCAGCATTCCTTTTCTATACCCGAAAACAGAGACAAGACCTGCGGTGGTTTAGCACTTCCCTAGCATGCACAAGGCCATGGGTTCAAAAACACAATACCACAAACAACTGGAAATAGTATTTGTCCTAAGAGAACACAGAAGGAAAAAACCTCTTGCTCACAGCCTTCTAAGGTATAGTTGAAAGGTTCACAAGCACCTCAAAGTCAAATCTCCCTTCTGGGTATTACACTATGAAATGATGCAGGCCAGGCATGGTGGCGCATGCCTTTAGTTCCAGCACTCCAGGGGCAGAGGCAGGCTGATCGCTGTGAGTACATAGTGAGTTCTAGGCCAGCTAGGGTAATGCCAACAGAGCATTATTCCATCACATTATACATTGTTTTTTCAGTGGATGTCTTTAAAAAAATGGGACTGGGAATTAAACTAAATTAAACAGGGTCTGGCACATGTTAAGCAAGGGCTCTATAACTGAGCTAGAAGTCAAGCCCCAGCAGAAGCTTTGTAAACGCATACAGCTAAGGTTGAAAACTTTTCCAACTTTAGATTCCTAGTCGTCCCCAAAGACTCTGGACCCTGGCCTCCTGCAAGAGGCCAGAGCTCAGCTACTGTCCTCAGCCATGAGGGCCAGGCAGTGGTTCCTAAATCCCAGAGCCAGACAGAGGACAGAGGCTGAGGAGACCCAGCTACCTGAAAAAGAGGAGGGTCCTGTGGAGGCTTTCCTTTTGTCAGCCCAGGGCAGAGGCAGGACAACAGAATGGGTTTCTGCTTCCAGATGCCTTTCCAACATTAGGAAAAGGCAATAGCTTAGCAATCATCCAGGGCTGGGAGGAAGAAAACCTAGGAGACAAATTACCTGTCTTGAGGTGAGCTTGATCAAGGACCCTTCATAGCCCTGTGGAGAGAAGAGGCCATTACAGGGGATAAGTTGTTATTGTGCTGCCCCAGAACTGTATCCCACATCAGTTTCATCTTCCCCTAGTGTTCTCCTGATTCACTCAAAAACCTCTACATAGGAAAGCCACTCAGACCTCACCATTGCTTAGTTCCTGCTGCCTTTGTGTTCTGAATCACACAGGGCATTCCTATATACTCTAATTTGTAATCCCAGAGGGTGGGCCTTACCTTTCAATTTCCTCATCTGCCAATGAAAAGGCTACACTGAATCTCAAGGATTCCTTATGTGGCAAAGATTCTTTACCAGCTCCACTTTACAGATGAGGAAACAGAGGTTCAGAAGGGCTAAGCAAGTGGCAGAAGAGCAGAAGATTTGCACAAATGATTCAGCAGACCCAGTCAGAGGCCTGTAACTTCAGTTTCTGAGACATCTTTCTGCAGTTCAATCCACAGCAGATTTTTCTTGCTGCTCAGCCCTGGTTCTGGGCTCTGGGGGCTCCTGCGTCCTGACTCACCTTGAATGGCCGGAAGAGCAGGTAGAGTTCTCTAGGTTTAATATCCACAGGGAGGCCACTGACGAACAGTGTCCGGACCTGAGGACAGAGACCACAGTGGTCAGGGTCAGGCTGGACATGAAGGATGGGAATGGTGGTTCTTCCACCAGGTGAGACTTAACAGGGAAATTGAATATATTCTGGGCCTCCTCTATAGAAAGTGAGGGTGCCTCATCCCACAAAATGAGCCCATAAAGTTGTATGTTTTAGCACTTACTGAACCACCATCAGGACCAAAGTTCAGACTTCAGGACTCACATAACAAGCTGGGTATCCTGCCCATGCCTATAGCCACAGCTTTGAGGAGGACAGAAAGAGGAAGATCCGCTGGGGCTTGCTGGCTTCCAGTCTACGGAGAAACCTGAGCCCTAGGTTCAGCTGAGACATCCTGCTTTATAGGAAGGTACTGAGTGATAGAGGAGGACATCATGCCCACCATAAGTGTACATAGGCACACACAAGCTCACACATACACAGTGAAAAAGAAAAAAAATCACCGGGCGTGGTGGCACACGCCTTTAATCCCAGTGCTCAGGAGGCAGAGGCGGGCGGATCTCTGTGAGTTCGAGGCCAGCCTGGTCTACAAAGTGAGTTCCAGGCCAGCTGGGGCTACAGGGAAACCCTATCTCAAAAAGACCAAAAAAAAGAAAAAGAAAAAAAGAAAAAAATCAGGCTGGCGAGATGGCTCAGGGGTTAAGAGTACTGACTGCTCTTGCTTCAGGGATTTCCTATCTCTACCTCCTGTGGGTGGGGATTACAGGTAGGCTATACTTACCTGGCTTTTAATGTGGATTCTGAGTATCTGAACTCTGGTCTTCATGCTTGAGCGACAAAGTACTTTACCCACTCCCTACCTAGCACCTTACATTGAATTTTTTAAGGTAAGTAGAATCTTGCCAGGTTCAAGGGAGGAAGTTTGATGCCCTAAGTGATGAGAGTGGCCTCCCTGTGGTTACCAGTTGGAAGCAAAATCAGGTCTAAATACCAGGTGTTTATCTGGTAAGTTCAGTCAAACCTGGCCTCCTGAACCGCAGGTAGGGGCCTTGAGAGGGTTGGTTCAACTGCTTCCTTACCTAATTTCTATTTTTGTTTTATTTGTTTTTGTGATACTGGAGACTGAATTTGGGGCCTTGAGCATGCTAGACAGACACTCTACCACCGACCTATAATTTATAACCCCTTTTTAACTTTTTATTTGGAGACTTGTTACATAGTCCAGGCTGGCCTTGAATTTTCAATCCTCCTACCTGTCTCCTTAGTACTGGGATTACAGTATGTCATGCAGGGTTTCTGCTATGCAAATCCTGCTGGCATTTGGTGTTAAACTAGGTGCATCACCTGGGGGCTATGATGCCTTCTAGTTTATTATAGGTCTTCTAGTTTATTACATTAAAAAAATTTCTTTTAGCCCAACATGGTGGGGCATGCCTTTAATCCCAGTGCTCAGGAAACAGAGGCAGGAGGATTTCTGTGAGATCAAGAACAGCCGCCGGAGCTACAGGGAACCCCTGTTTCAAAAAACCAGAAAGTATGTATACACATACATGTATGGAAGTCAGGAGTCAGTCACTACCTTTGTCACGTGGTTCCCAGGGGTCTAACTCAGGTCATCAGGCTGGGCTGCAGAAGCCTTTCTTTACACTTGGAGCCATCTCACTAGCCCAGCCATCTAGTTTAAATATATTAAAAACACATCTTTACTTACTTTTTTTGGACAAGGTTTTCTCACAGGCCCAGCTAGCCTGGAACTTACTATTAGACCAGGATGGGCTCAATCTCACAGAGATCTACCTGTCTCTGCCTCCCAAGTGCTGGGACTAAAGGTGTGTGCCACCATGCCTGGTCAGAAGGTCCTCTTAACTAACATACCTGAAGGGCTAGAGAGATGGCTCAATGGGTAAAGGGACTTGCCACAAAGCCTGATATCCTGAGTTTGGTCTATGAAACCCACACAGTTGAACGAGAGACCTGCCTTCCACAAATTGTCTTCTGTCTCCCACAGCACACTGTAGCATATACATACACATATGTACACACAAAATAATAAATGTATAAATGTAAAAATATTTGCTCACCATCAAGTTCAAGGCTAATCTGGTCGACAGAGCAAATTCTAGACCAGCCCCCAAATATCCCATCTTGAAACCATGGCTTAAATAATGATAAATCTGAATGAGTTCCCTGCCTGACCCCTGTTTTGAGCACCAGTACATATTCCTATGCCCAGCATCATCTTCTTACTTCCCTACTGTTAGTTTAAGAAAAATACAAGGCAGGGGATATGACTCAGTGGTAGAGTGCTTGTCTAGCATACATCAAGTGCTATATAAAAGTGGGTGTAATTCCAGCACTAAGGAAGTAGAGACAGAAGTTCAAGGTCACTTTCAACTACATAGTGAGCTTCAGGCTAGCCTGGGGTACAAGAAACTATTTGGAAAAGAGAGAGAGGAGGGAGAGGGAGAGGGAGAGGGAGAGGGAGAGGGAGAGAGAGAGAGAGAGAGAGAGGTCAAGTATGGCTGCTCCTGCTTTTAATTCTATCACACAGGAAGCTGAGGCAGGAAAACTGGCCTGAATCTAGGACAGCCTGAGCTACAAAGGGCCTGGTCTCAAAAATCAAAAGAAATGACTCTCCTTTGAGAAGTCTATAACCATGTTCTTGGGTGTGTCTTACTAGACCAAGAACCTCTCTTTCTCTTAAGCCTTAAAAATCTGTATTTAAAAAATCTCTTTCAGCCAGGCATGGTGGTGCATGCCTTTAATCCCAGCACTCCAGAGGCAGAGGCAGGCAGATCTCTGTGAGTTCAAGGCCAGCCTGGTCTACATGGCAAGTTCCAGGCCAGCTAGGTCTAGGGGGAAACCCTGTCTCAAAAAGACCAAAAAAAAAACACCCCCAATTCTTTCAATAAACTAACTCTGCATCAGAAAATAAGAATTAAAGAGGGACTGGAGAGATGGTTAAAAGCACTGGTTGCTCTTATAGAGGACTCAAATTTGGTTCGCAATACCCATATGGCAGCTTAACAACCATCCATAACTCCAGTTCCAGGTGATCAGTTGTTAGCTGCCATGTGGGTTCTGGGATTTGGACCCAGGTCTTCTGCAAGAACAGTGTTCTTAACCACTGAGCCATCTCTCCAGCCCATAAAATATTTTTTTAAAAGGAAAAAAAAAAAAGAGAACATGCTCCATGTCTAATGATGGTCACTGCTGGGAAATAGCCTTTGGGGATACTGGCTTATATCAGGAACCTGAAGCAGTACCAAAGTTGCACCCAACACACACACATGCACACATACACACATAATCACGAAACAGAGCCAGGAATGTCAAAAGAAACCAGCTCCATATGTATCTGCACGTAACCATGTCACCACACCCACCTACACTAAAGCCATTTCAGATGCCTCTTCCTTGCAGATAGGCCAATTTTACCTGGGTGAAAGCTCATTACATGTCCCAGCTCTTGGGAGTTCTGTACCCCTGTACTGTCCCCGCTCAAGCTTTGCCTTGTCCCTGGCAGGCCCTGAGGGAACCAGAAAGCTGAGGCTCCAGGGTAGTCTAAACCGAGATCCTCCTCTATTCTAGAGCCCCTCTGTCCTTTGATGTCAGAGTTTAAAGTGTTTAAGTAAATCCAAGCACAAGGGGCTCACCCAAGGTCACACAGAAGACCAGGGACTTAAAACCCAGGTCTCCCCACTATATACAACCTGCCTGGCAGAGATGATACGTCTTTCCCTGATACCCTCGTATCAATGCCAGCCCTCAGGATAACTCAGGGTTTGTTCCAGCAGATGGGAGTGGAAGTTCAAGCTGCCTGCCGAGCAGACCCCAGCAGCTCTCTTGCCCTCCTCCTCAAAGTAGCCCCACAGAAGCCTCTGTCTTAGTCCTACCCAGGGCCTGCCTATCTCACCCAGGCTAATTTTAATCCCTTCCTCAAATGGCTCCCCAGCCTCCCTAGAGGCCCCTTAAATAGCAAGTTCTCAGTACAAAGTTTCCTGCTTTGGGTGGGAGTGGGGGATAAGCTCAGGGATCTTTTCCTCATCTCCAGTTCAGATTCTCTTTTCCAGCCTTCTCTCTGGACCACATGGCCCTTTTCCTCCAGTTTCCATAGCTTAAATTTTAAACTATCTTAAAGGCTACACCATGGTGCCTATCCTATCCCTGACCATCTTTCAGAAATAAGGCAGATATGGATTAAGTGGTGGGTGTCCTCCTGTCTTTCAGGGCACAGGCCCTTTGAAGAAGTCAAGTGTGGGAGGCTAAGTCATAGGAAGTTTGACCTGAACATTCCGTGGTTCTTACTTAATTCTATCCACCCCAGCCAATTACATCCATCTTATTCCTCTAAACCAGAGAGGGACAGTGAAGTTCAGAAATGCTCAATATTACTTCTCTTAGTTTTTCTTGAGACAGGGTTTCAATATATATCTCAGACTGACCTTGAATTCACTATGTTGCCCAGGCTGGCTTCAAAGTCACAGTAATACTTCAGGTGTCAGCCTCCCACATATTAGAATTACAGGTATACATCACCTCACTCAGCTTTGGTAATTTCTCAAGGGCAAGCAACTTGGTTCTTGAAAGACAGAGCAAGTGAGACCCAGGTGCCCGACTGCTGTCTGTGCTACCAGCAATCTACAGGGGCAGCTGCATTAGCCCACAGCTGGGTGAAGAACTGCCACACAGATCTATTAAGTAACCAGTTCCTAGCCAGGCATGGTGGCACATGCCTTTAATCCTAGCACTTGGGAGGCAGAGGTAGGCAGGTCTTTGTTGAGTTCAAGGCCAGCCTGGTCTACATAATGAGTTCCAGGACAGCTGGGACTACAGGGAGACCCTGTCTCAAAAGGAAAAAAAAAAAAAAAAAAAAAAAAACCAGTTCTTTTACTATGATACTTATTCCTGGCAACAGGAAAGCCAAGGTGATTGGGAAAGAAAAGGCAGAAAAACAAAACCAGAGCTCCAGCAGCCCAAGGAAAAGAAGAAGTTTGCATCTCAGCTTTAGGTTTGGCCTGGGGAAGCTGCTTATCTTTCTGAAT